CTAACAATTTCACAAGGGTTAACATTGGAAAGTTCCTTACCTCACTACAAGAACACATAGACCTGTTGGATAAGGCCTCTGAAACTAATTTAACTTCAATCTTGCTTTTCGAACTACAATGTGTCTTTGTATGCCCATTACATAAAACCTAAAAATCTATGCCTGGTACTATTCTTTAGATGATAATAATATCCAAATATGCTAATGAACAAATCAAGCAATTAGAAACCACACTGGCTGGTCTGTCGATTTCTCCAGACAAATCACAGTCATCTCATCATCCTACTTAGAGTATACTAGTCCGTGCATGTCAACTTGCCAGCTTCAGATGATCTGAACTAATTAGACTGTATGAGATGAATTTCTCAGGGTACATCGTTGATCAGCTCGACCCCAAATGAGCAGTTTAAATCCCTCTGATTTGGTTGGTTGGCGAAATACTACAGATCAGCCTGAATGCTTTCTAACTACTTAGTTTGTTCAGCAGTAGTATCTTTCGCTAGTTCACAACACTTTCGTGTCAGAGATGTCACCTTATGATCTCGACTGACAGGTGGTTTCCAGAGGAAACCCTATTGACACTACAGTTGAGCAGCTGAAAAACTGCTCAAAGCTGACAACGTGAATTGTGCACTTTCAAGTCGTTTGCAAATAGATCACCTTCCATGATTCCATTAGGTTTATGGAGATTTATTTATCCATTTCAGGTTGATATTCATCATAAAATGACATCAGTTGAAGCACTGCACACCTGTTTCGTCCTATTATGAGACTCCTCAGTATACATGACCCCCCAAGGCTCGAGCCGAAGACCTTCAGGTCCCGCGGCCAGCGCGTCATGACTGGACCACTGTCACTTCGACGCAGTGCTGACCGTGAAACACGAGTTCATCCCCTGGCCTAACGGGATTATTTGCGCACACTGCTGAGGAGGCTGACACAAGGACGAAATAGCTGTACAATGTTCCGGCATTCCCAATGTTTCTCTAACTGATGTCAGTCCACGATAAATACCAACCTAAAATCAATAAGTGAACCCCCACAAACCTCGAAATTGAATTCCACAACAAATTAGTCTACTCGCTACAGTATTATTTACAAACAGAATTTATTGCTCGTAATCATACCCGCATGGTTGAGGAAAACCTCTTATTCATTCTGACCACTCCCTTTTTTCTCTGTAATGTCAATTTGATGAACAATTTATATATAGAAATTTTGATCAACAAAGAAAAAGGTCATAGAGTTTATCGAGTAAATTGATTTTTACAACAAAGAAAAGGTCAAACTTTAATTCATCAGGTCAGAGTTCATAAACAAAGTTCAGATTGCTACCCTGGATTGAACGCTGTGTCAGAACACACATATACCGGTAAATTAACTTAAATTAACAGAAAACAGGCTGATTTCTTTTCTAGATGTCTGATTATGTAGTAGGTTAAATGAAACAGCGAATTTCTCATCAGTTAACCAGTGAATATGAAAGGTAGTACAAGTTTTAGCCAACTTTATGAAAATGACATGTACTTAGACAACACAATATTCATGGAAACTGATTGCCAACTCGAAGAACAAGACTATATCTTCTGCATACTAATGTCCCTCTTTAATTGCTAGGTTCCTAGACCACTCTTGTTAAATAAGTTTGCCCTTGCTCGTACTGAGCCATGGGGTTACAAAATGGTTGTATTCTTAATATAAGAGTATTCTTATTATTCGGAAAGGAAACAGTATACTTTCTATCAAGGGAAGTGCTCGACTTCATTGCTTACAGAGGCTGGTATGCCTCAAGGTGATGTACTTTCTCCCTTTCTGTTTTCGTTCTTTCTGCACAATTTACCTTATTCTGGTGAAACTAATTTTATTCAGTATGCTGATGAACTGACGGTGTCTATTCCAGTTAACTCTCACTTAGATTGCTCTAAATTAAATAGATTATTGTCTGTAGTTGATCAATGGTCTCAAGTTAAACCCTTCTAAGTGTGAGACTGTTAATTTTAGCCTCAGGCGAAGTAAACAAGACTTGTGTGAGCTGCTTAAGTCCGATGACGTCTATTGGATTGATGTTAGTTCTGCAGAAAGCAAGTCAAGTGTCAACTATCTTGGATTGAGATTTAATTCTGATCTTTATTGGTCGTCTCATATCTTGTTGACTTCCAAGAAAATCATTCGTTTAACGCATTATATAAAGAAACTGAGGCTCTGTGTTATAACTCAACCTCTTCTTTTACAATGTATTAATTCCTACATTTTACCTATTCTTTTATATTGTTCCCCATTGATTGATCTTTACTGGTCTCCTAAAAAAGACAACGTTATTTTGCATAGGGCTTTGAAAGCCGTCAGTAAGGTGAGTGGTATACCTCTGGTTCAGCTGATTAACACTGTAGTTGACAGACATTTAAATTCCAACAAGCAACTAGCTACAATAATCTTAACTGACACTGAAAAACCACTTCATTCACAGCCCTTTCCTTCATCTCCTGTCAGGGAGGAAAAGAAGAAACTAAATAAGACTGTACGCTTGTACACCCAAGTATAAGAATTTGACTGTACCTTACCTAGCACGCACATTATGTGAGGAGAAGCGAGTTAGAACAGAAATCATATATCAACTTTGTAACAGTTAAAAATCTCATTTCAATAATTTAACTAGTTATGTAAAATTGTCTCGTTATCAATATTCTTGACGTTACTTAAATTTTGAGGGAGTTGTGGAGATTTGGAAATATTTCAAGTTGTTATTCATCGTAGACTGACATCAGTTGGAGGAACAAAGGAAACTTGAGAGCACTGGACAGCTGTTTCGTCCTAGTATGGGACTCCTCAGCAGTGCGCTCCCATGACCCTGCCAGGGATCGAACCCGCAATTCGAAATGTTGTAAAGGAGGATAATGTATGCGCATGTATTTTGTTGTTGTTGCAATGTATCTTGCTGAGAATTCCAAATTGTACCACAAATTGTTCGGAATAAAGTGAATTATTATTATGTATGTATCACAAGCATAGAACTATCAGTGTAAGTACGCCACTTTGTTGAAGAGGATTTATTTTCTATCATTCTACCTTATACTAATTTCCTTATCATCTCCAAAATGTTAACAAACTTCTAATGAACATCTCTTCCTAAAACATAATTCCAGATGACAGCCCTGTGTAACAAGACAAAACTAATGTAATCCAATTCCCCTAACATGACACGTCGAAATACACGACAACTCGGCTTGCCCAATACATGTTCAAGCCATGTTCACAACGTCATCAATCGAATTGTCTTGTTTGCTTAATACCTTTCGCCTGACGTCAACATTGCTCACATAGTGAAGCTACAAAACGAAAGCAATTCAAAACCATGCAATCGCTCCACATCTTCCACTTTTAACAGCCAAGTATCATCCTGAGTTAAAAATCGAAGGCAAACGTAGCGTCGAGAAATATTATCTATCATATAGAAAGTGTACACTGTTAAGGATATGGGGAATGCATTTATGCGCCGAATGAAACAAGACTTAATCGAAGTTATGACACCACTTAGTATTTCAGGTAGATTAGTTAGTTCAATAATATTCTCTTCCGACGGTAATGAGCAATTCTCAGTTTATCGTATCTTATAATGCCCTTTAATCAGATCCCTAACCGGAGTCGCAGACGGTATTAATGATCTAGGTTCAATGAAGTTAATGTTTCCAAGTAGATCGTTCTCGGTGTATCCAAACAATTTGGGTTTCGTTTAGTAGTAAGTATTACAATTTATAATTTGAACCTCCCATTAAAAACTCGGATAACCTGGGGGTAGTAACTTTTGTCGGCCTATGCGATCACCGTAAGGAATAAAGTTTTGAAGTCACCTGAAATATTCATCTTTTGTCAATAACTGTTTTATGCAGCTTAGTTTGTCTTCTCGTCAAGGTAAGAAGATGGATTCATTTCTTATATAATTCGACTTAATATACTGATCAAAATGAACTAAACTTTTGATAAGGAAACTTAAAACAATGAAAACTTCATATAAGTTGACCAAAGTGTTCGACTATTTTGCAAAATGGTTATCAAACTAGACTACTTATCATCATAGTAGACTTTCATTGATGTTTGGTGGTTCCCCTAGAGATCTGAGGCTTCATCATCCAATATTGCATTGGAAAACGTAAACCACGTTAGTCATGCAGTGATTAACCTCCTGTAGGAATGGATGATATACCATAATGTATGTTTCCTGCCAATCACCTAACAGAAGAATTTTAGATTTTAGTTCACGCTGAAAATGCAAATCCAATATACAAGCTGAGGTATAAATAGACTGATAAACTTTATCCTTAAAATGTTGGTTGGGATTTCACGAGAAATTCATCAAAACACGAACAGAAGTCAACATCACCAAGATGATTGATATACTATCTTTGTACAATAGCATATTGGTTCTCGTTGTTTTCAATCCATTTTTTCTTTGAAAAAAAGTCAATATCTGATGATTTTATTTCTATTCGTTCATGAATTATTTCAGAAGGTGACAGATGAACGCACGAAATGAAACGCAGTCAGCAACCTTATACCGATTCATGCAGTAGGCAGTGGACCTCACACCTATTGTATGCGTGGGCTAGTGATACCACCTGATTTCCAAAACTTTGGTTAGTGTAACAGGGTTCCAACTAGTCACCCAATAGTTAAAAGTCCACTCTGTACACCTTAGAGTCACAGCTTCACTCTAAAATATTACTTACTACTAAGTCTACTCATGCTATCTTAGTTCCTTCGTGTAGTTAATGTAGTTAATCATTGCAAAAAACTTGCAAACTATTGCAAGCTCCGCAAACTAACTTCAGCACTGATAACAGTAATACGCTTCGTAATGAAGCCTAAGCCCAATAGCTTAATAAAGAAAATTACACTTCTTAGCATTTTTTTTCATATTTACACATTTATTTTTGTTATTTCGCATTTAAAATTAAATATATGAAAGTGATTTAAGAGGAGTAGAAACTCACAAAAATGCCTTCTTATGTTTTGGGTTTTTCGGTTTTTTTTGGAAGTAGTACTGCTTGTATATTTGGTAAGACTCCACCTTGAGCTATTGTAACTCCACCCAATAGTTTGTTCAACTCTTCATCATTTCTAATAGCTAATTGTAGATGACGTGGAATAATACGAGTCTTCTTATTATCTCTAGCTGCATTACCGGCCAATTCCAATACTTCAGCAGCTAGATATTCTAATACTGCTGCCAAATAAACTGGCGCACCAGCTCCAACACGTTCAGCATAATTGCCTTTTCTTAACAGTCTGTGAACACGACCAACAGGAAATTGTAATCCTGCACGAGCTGATCGACTTTTTGCTCTAGCACGCGTTTTACCGCCTTTGCCACGTCCGCTCATTATAATCAAAACAGAAATATTCGGTTTATTAGATGCTAGTATAAAGATTGAACTAAAACATCAATTCTTGTGCCGTCAATGTATATAAAGTATCGATCGAAATTGCATAGACTAGTTTGTTCAATACATTCATCGTATTCTGATTGGTTATAAAAATGGCGCGGATAGACATTTATCGTCTGTCTTTCTTCATTACAACTTCAAAATACCTATTAGAAAGTATTGATTTTTCTGATAGTATGATTATCTGCCTGTCTATATTCAATTAGATAAAATTGTACGACTTGCAGAGTAAAAGCTAGACTTAAATACATTCTTAGCTCACGCTAGACAGTAACTTAATGTACCTTCGATTAGTTAGAAAACAATATCATATTGGTAGTTTTAACAAGTTGCTCAGACGCAGTAGTATCAGCAACGAGTCATTTCAATAGTTGCGTAACTATAGCTTATACGAGAAAACGATATCTCACGACCACAACAACATTGAGAAGGTAAGCCCTTTACCTTCCTTTCGCTTACTGGGGTCAAAGTCGACATAAGTAAAGTATGAACACAACAACTGTGACTTAATATATTTTATCCTGGGGAGCCGAGTAATACATCTTAGCCAAGTTTTATTTCAAACAATTAGTTTCCTTTATGAATGATCCGGTATGCAATATAATTATACATAAATTATCTCACGGTTTGATCAAAGCTTATTTCCAACAACTCTCGAGTTGATGTTATGTAACGACCAGCTATGGGTATGTCTTCATCTACTCTTCGGGCATTTTATTGCAGAGAGGCGCACAGACGTGTGTCAGTTTGGCGGTGATATTCCATTCACCCGGACGAAAAGCTAAAAAGGAGAAGAGAAATACACGAACCGACGACGCAGAAACAAGAAGGTGGACAAGTACGGATTCAGGTGCGTAATACTGCTCCCAGTAGTGAAAAAGTGTACCAATGCTTGAGTGTGCCTGGACAAGGTAGGGCTAAGTATGGCACGTAAAACATATGGTGGAATGGCTATTGTTGAGAGCATAGATATTCACTGTTGGGAGGATAACATAGTTAAAGCACTTGTAGGTAAATTGAAAAGAAAACGAATAAGAAGTGCTGAGACCAATCTGTACATCAGTCGAGAGTAAACACTCATCTCTCATTCTGTGCCCAAATACAACCTTGCTATCACTTACACATACTGGTATATCTCTAGTTATTTTTGTCGCAACAACTATACCGGCGATATTGGATTAGTGGTCAAAGTATTAGTCAGTTCCTTCGTTTGCAGCTGTAGTTGCTATAACAGTGCCAAGTGTACTTAAAATCCCGAGCGTCCAATGGGAACAGAATGCAAACGTAGTACTAGTGTATGTACACAACGAACTCGTGTGCCAATGAGTTAGTAAATCCACAAAACTAAGTCCCTTTCAACAAAGGAAATCATGATGTGCCAACACACTTAAGAACACTCGAGTCCACACTCAGCGTAAGTGTAAGCAGTTCGTGAATCTTCTTCCCGTCATGTGATGAAATCACACCACTCTCAATTTAGAGTAAAATAGTCTGAGGATTTGTGGTTTTTTAACTTGCATCAACTTCATTCAGTAAACGATGTAAGGGGAAAACGTTTCACTTAACCAAGTTATTGACACTATCAACCTTGTGAATATTTCGACATGGAATATTGGAAACTATATAATAATATACGACGAACTACAACAAAATTGGCTCAGTACCGATCACTTATCAGTAGGTCTATTCACCACACATTTCTATTTTAAGTAAAACCTGAGTGATTCGGTGAGAGAAATAGCATTCCTAAACCTTAAGCTATCGAAAATTGTCCACTTGAATTCTTCCCTTTCAGTTTGTTTTTACCCCTTAAATTATATCTTTTAAACGTATTAAATACTCTCCCACGATTTCAAAGCAGTCCGGAACTGCCGTTTTTCATGTTAACAACAAAACAAGGAATAAACGATCCACCGGTAAGACATGGGCTTTGAAATGCACAGAAATATAGTACCTTGCAATTCTTAGCTTGTATATATTGAATTACAGATTTTGATACTCCGGATATTCTATTCATTCACATGTCCAGACCAGACGTTAATGTAGCACCATGTAACTTTCAAATTGTGGGTTTCATGATTTTTCAAATGGAATAAATATTTCCTTTAAACATCTACGGACAATGCAATTATTGAATTATTACACGCTGAGAATTTCAAACTGTACCACAAGTCTTGCTTGAATACAGCTACTATTACCATTATTATTATTCGTAAAAACATACTCATTCACTACGCAACTCTGTTGTAAATAAAATCCGAGTGCTTCGGTCCACACATTTTAAATACACTCTATAACTACGTTCAAATATAGCACTAACTTGTCATCGAAAACACCTATGATGCGATCATTACTAGCGCAATCGTCTTCACATGATTACACAGGTCCGCTGAAGCCGATACAAAAGTCACAAGGACAGTCCAAATTTCTCGCAAATCCCTGATCGCAACACAAAACTAACACGTAAAAAAGACAAGGTCAATGCAAGGCCACATGATATAGGTGGCCAGTGAAACAAGAGCAGGCTCTAGGTCAGCGAAGGTCGAACAAACAAAAAACCAACTGCATTGTGATTGGCCGACTGTTAGTCACAAGGCTATAAAAATTGGCAGGAACGCTAATCATATTGTCATCGTCTCTCGGTGTTTTGGAAATGGCAAGGACGAAACAGACTGCGCGTAAATCAACTGGAGGGAAAGCCCCAAGGAAACAGCTGGCCACCAAAGCTGCTCGTAAAAGCGCCCCAGCCACCGGTGGTGTGAAGAAGCCCCATAGGTACAGGCCAGGAACTGTTGCCCTGCGTGAGATCCGTCGTTATCAAAAGAGCACTGAGCTATTGATCCGTAAACTACCTTTCCAGCGTTTAGTTCGGGAGATTGCACAGGACTTCAAGACTGACCTTCGTTTCCAGAGTTCAGCTGTGTCTGCTCTCCAAGAAGCTAGTGAGGCCTATTTGGTTGGCCTGTTCGAGGATACTAATTTGTGCGCGATCCATGCGAAGCGTGTGACGATAATGCCGAAGGATATTCAGCTTGCTCGTCGCATTCGTGGTGAACGTGCGTAGATAGTTGAGGGGAACCCAGAGAACGATGCCACGGCCCTTTTTAGGGCCATCACAATCTGATTCCTTGTCTTTCTACTGCATACCGTGACTGCTTGAAATGAATACACATGTGGTAAACGACCGGCGGTCGACTGCCAGACGTAGGTGTTAAGCCAGCCCAATGGGTTCGTGCAGGTTTATTAATTAATTCTGGTAACGGTACTACGTCGTGAGATTTAGTAGCGTAGTGACTCGTAATAGGTTCGTAACTCCCCCTCTCCCATATTAACTACGTCAGTCCCAAGGGCATTTTCTTATTTGGGGGGTTGGCGTTCAGTTTCGCGTTACCATCGTTGCGAGACCTAGTCTCATGAAGCCAGGCGCAACAAATTATTACCTTCACTCGTACATGCGGTCTCTAGATACTACAAAACACTTTGAAGTAATGTGCCCTGTCAACATTCGTCTCGTGAGTCCCGGCTCTTACCACAACCTAGCCTTAAGAGATCATGCTACAGCAAACACTACAGAGGACGACGGGTCTGCTATTCCCTAGCAGGTGCTCACTATCTATCGTACCGTAAATGTCAAACGGTACGTATCTTCGTGGCCGGGTTCGGACCATTGGCGGTGCTGACTGGAATTTCTTCGCTCCATCGTGCGCCTCACTGCTTTTTGGAAGTCTTCCCTACGCTCACATGAAGGAAGTGGCGTCTTCTCTGCCTCACCTCGGGTCGCCTCTTCTGCCAACTTTTGTTAGTTTCCACCTGTGTACATCTTCGAGTTTGTGCGACAAGATATGAGACATAAATCATCATCGTTGGCGAAATCCAAATCTTCCTCTGGGATCTTTCCATCACTACAGACAGTGTATGCCTTTCTTCTCACAGCTCTTCACAGTTTGTTGCATGATCCAGTCCAGTCGAGTAGCAATTTGAGTTTTTGGGATGCGTTTCTCACCACCCGAATGCAAATTACTGCTCCAGGATTGGTCTTCAACTGTACCACGGCTAACAATAGAGAGTGTAGAAGTTGAGTGTGTTGACCACTTCACTTACCTGGGAAGTAGGATCAGCCCTGATGGTTCAGTGCCCGGTGAAATCTCTGCACATATAAAAAAGGCTCGATTAGCTTTCGCCAACGTACGCTACCTGTGGCGCCACAGGGATATCCGATTGTCTACTAAGGGTCGCGTGTACTGCACATGCACAGCAGTTCACTCTGTTCTATGCCTGTGAAACATGGCCATTGAAGGTGGAAGACATGAGAAGGCTTCAGGTGTTTCAACACTGTTGACTTTGTAGTATAGGCCCTATTCCGTGGTGTAACCATGTGAGTAACACAGAAGTCAAGTGTAGAGTTTAAGGGAGAAGAGGTAAGTCGGTTGGTGATGGTGTTGTGAACCTTCATCGACTGAGATGGTTGGCTGTCTACTCGCCGATTGCCTCGTCACACAATGTTGGCTGAAGTAGGTTAAGGCTGAAAAAAGGCCCGAGGTGGCCAGACAAAAACATAGCACCAATGTATGAAGTCTCTGACTGTTGGTTTGAGCCATGTGGTGCGATGCAGAATAAGTGGTTGGGGTCCGTGGGACAAGAGGAATCAGTGGTTGGAGACTGACTCTAGGTGGTGATATGGCTGAGAGCTGATGTCATTGGTGGATATGTATCCTCATACACATTATCCTCTACTTAACGATGCTATACCGAATCTCACCACTTTCTCATTCCTCATTTCTCTCTTTTCGTACTTTATATTTCTTTAGACTGAATTTTCTTATCTTCATCTTGCGCCTTATTGCTTTTTTACTTGATGTACTGATATGAGATTGTGGCGACATGTACTGTTACACAGTAATGCTTGGTCCTAGGTTGATCTGGATGGATGGATGGAG